ATTTATTTTTCAGAACCTGCATTACCCTGAGACCAAAGCTAGAAAGGGATACTACTAAAAACAAACTGCAGGCCAATAACCCTGATGAATATAGATACAAAAATTCTCAATAAAAACTAACAAAATGAATTCAGCAGCACATTAAAAGGATCCTTCACCATGATCAGTGAGATTTAACCCTGGGATACAAGGATGGTTCAGCATATACAAATCAGTATATGTGTTATATTGTATTAATGTAATGAAAAAATATCTCAATAAACGCAGAAAAAGCATTTGACAAAATTCATTACTTGTTCATGGTAAGAACACTTAACAAATTAGGTATAGAAATAAAGTGCCTCAACATAATAAAGCCTGTATATAACAAGCCCACAGCTTACATCTTACTCAATAATAAAAGTTGAAAAACTTTTCCTCCAAGATCAGGAAAGCACAAGTGCCCACTCTCACAACTCCTATTCATTATAGTACTGGAAGTTCTAGCTCGAGCAGCCAGGCAAGAAAAATAAAGCATCAGAACTGGAAAGGAAGAAATAAAATTGGCTATATTTGCAGCTGACATGATTTTATGTATAGAAAATCCTAAAGCCTCCACCGAACTGTTATATCTAATTAATGAAGTCAGTAAAGTTCCAGGATACAAAATTAACATACAAAAATTAATAGCATTTCTCTCCACTAATAACAAATTATCTGAAAAAGAAACAAAGAAAATGATCCTATTAATAATAGCATCAAAAATAATAAAACATTAGAAATAAGTTTAACCAAGGAGGTGAAAGATCTCTACATCAAAAACTACAAGGCACTGATAAAAGAAATCAAAAAAGACACAAATAAATGGGAAGGTATCCTGAGTTCATGAATGGGTAGAATTAATATTGTTAAAATATCCATACTACTACAAAGCAATCCCTACCAAAATTCCAAAGGCATTTTTTTTACCGAAATAGAAAAAACAATCCTAAAATTTATATAAAACAACAACAGACCACAAATAGCCAAAGAAATCCTGAGAAAGAAGAATAAAGTGGGAGGCATCATACTTCCTGATTTCCAGCTATATTATAAAGGTATAATAATCAAAGCATTATGACACTAGCACAAAAACAGACACATAGACCAATGGAACAGAGTTTAGAACCCAGAAATTAAACCATACATGTATGATCAACCAACATCTGACAAGGGAGCCAAGAAGATCCAATGGAGAAAAGACAGTCTCATCAATACTTGGTGCCAGAAAAACTGGATATTCACATGTAAGCTAGACCCCTTGTTTTACATCACTCACAAAAATTACCTCAAGATGCATTAAAGACTAAAATGTGAGGCCAAAACTATAGAACTCCTAGAAGAAAACAAATGGTCAGCTCTATTATACAGGTCTTGGCAGTGATATTTCGGATATGACACCTAAAGCACAAGCAACAAAATCAAAAATAGTAGGACCACATCAAACTAAAAACCTCTGCACAACAAAAGAAAGGATCAACAAAATGAAAAGAATCTATGGGATGGAAGGAAATATTTGCAGACCATATATCTGATAAGGGGTTAATATCCAAAATAAAGAACTTATACAACTCAATATCAAACCAACCAACCCACCAACCAAACCTGAACAATCTGATTAAAAAAATGGGTAAAGGACCTGAACAGACATTTTTCCAAAGAAGGTTTATGAAAGCCAACACATACACGAAAAGATGCTCAAAATCACTAATCATAAGGGAAATACAAATCAAAACTACAATAAGGTATTACCTCACCACCTCACCAATGTTGTCCTCAAAAAGAGAAGAGATGATAAATGCTGGAGAGGATGTGGAGAAAAGGGACCCCTCATGCACTGGTGGTGGAAATGTAAGTTGGTACAGACACTATGGAAAACAGTTTGGAGGTCCCTCAGAAAGTTAAAAATAGAACTTCCATATGATCCAGCATTTCCACTTCTGGGAATATAGCCGAAGAAATTGAAAACACTATGTCATAGAGACAGCTGCACATCCATGTTCATAGAAGCACTATTTACAATAGCCAAACATAAAAACAAAGTAAGTGTCCATAAGTGGATGACTGGATAAAGAAGTTGTGGTATAAATACATCAGTACAAAGAAGTATTATTCAGCCATTAAAAAAGAAGGAAATCCTGCCATTTGCAACAACATATATGGACCTTGAAGGCATTATGCTAAGTGAAGTCAGACAGAAAAATACAGATACTGTATGATCTCATGGAATCTCAGAAAACAAACCAAAACCTCATAAAAAAAGAGATCAGATTTGTGGTTACCAGACAAGGTGGGTGGGAAGAGGGGGAATTAGATGAAGGGGGTCAAAGGGCACAAACTTCCAGTTATAAAATCAGTTAAGTACTAGGGATGTAATGTACAACATGGTGACTCTAGTTCACACTGCTGTCTGGTATATTTGAAAGTGAAGAGAGTAAATTCTAACAGTTCTATTCACAAGGGAAAAATATATTTTTACACATATATGTCATGATGGATGTTAACTAAACTTACTGTGGTAATAATTTCAAAACATATGTAAATCAAATCATTATGCTGTATACCTTAAACTTACACAGTGCTATATGTCAATCATATCTCAATGAAAATGGAAAAAAACAAAAATAAATTAACATCAGCTTTCATAAGGCCCATGTAATCATGTACCATCTAATAAAATGCAAGGAAATCAAAAAATCACTTCTGGGCTTCCCTGGTGGCGCAGTGGTTGAGAGCCCGACTGCCAAAGCAGGGGACGCGGGTTCGTGCCCCGGTCCGGGAAGATCCCACATGCCGCGGAGCGGCTGCGCCCGTGAGCCGTGGCCGCTGGGCCTGTGCGTCTGGAGCCTATGCTCCGCAATGGGAGAGGCCACAGCAGTGAGAGGCCCACGTACCACAAGAAAAAAAAAAAAGAAAAAAGAAAACAAAATCACTTCTAAGGTATCCCTGGCAAAAATGTATCACCTGAATCTAATCATGAGCAAACTTTACACAAACACAAATAGAGGATCTTCTACAAAATAATAGTCATGTAATCTTCAAAGATTCCCTGGCCACGAAGGTCAAGGACTGAGGAAAAACGTTCCAGATTAAAAAGGACTAAAGGGACCTGACAACTGAAGTAATGTATAATTCTGGACATTTATTGGGACAACAAAACTTGAATGGGTGTGGGGACTCGATGACAGTAATGTATATGAGTTAATTTCCTGATTTTTATATTGCATCATTATTACGTGGGAAAATGTCCTTGTTTGTAGAAAATGCACACCAAAACATTAATGCTATTCTTGGAACTGAACTGACCATTGTTTCGAAATAAAAAGAAACAGGAAAGCCATCTATCAGTCTTTTCCTCCACTCTTCCTCATATTAACTTCTGTAAGCCACTGAGATTTTAGGGTTGATTTGTTATAATAATAGTCAGGCTATCTTAACAAATTTGCCCCTTTGCTTTACCACTGACAGATTATTTATTAGTGTGGGACTTGCTGCACCTTAGCCATTATTGATCCCAGTCGAGACATGCCAATTGCTTCTAAATTCATCCTCATAATGTCTGTAACCTTACCTTCCAAATTTCAGGTTTCTTGCTGTCACTAGTATATACTATAGAAAGGGTCAGTCAACCAGAGCCTGCAGGCCAAGTCACCCAACTGTCTATTCTTGCATGACCCACAAGCAAAGGATGGCTTTATATCTTCAAATGGTTGGGGGGAAAAATCCAAAGAATAATAGTTTGTAACATGAAGATTACATAAAATTCAATTTTCAATGCCCATAAATACAGTTTTATTGGAACACAATCATGTCCATTCATTGACATATTTTTCTATAGCAGCTTTCATACTACAACAGCAGAGAAAATATTTACTTGCTTGACCTTTTACCAGAAAAAAAGAAAAAATGTGCTGAAGGCTGTACAACAAAAAACAAAAAAGTTTCCCAAACCAAGCTTTTATTATTAAGAGGTTAGATAGCTGCTAAGAGCAGAGGCTCTGAAGCCTGAGACCTGGCTCCTCCATTTACCAACTCTGTAATCTTGGGAAATTGACATACTGTTTCTGAACAGCAATATTTGATTGGTAATAATAATGGGACACAATTCAGAGGGTTGTGAGAATTCCATGAGTTATTATAGGGCAGGTCCTTAGACCACTGCTTAACAATAAAATTAGCATTTTTTCTTTTTCCTTTTTAATTTAAATTGTGTAGTATCATTAAACATACATGTTATTTTCAACACTGATCTCCAGAAAAACAAAAATAACTCTCAAAATTCAAAGACATTATATAACAACAATCTAGTAATGTAAATTAATTCATAACTTTGTTTATATTAAATCCCAATGAAAGATTAAAGGGCAGTGACAGAGACAGTCTTAATCCTGAAAATATTACTTAAAGCAAAGGGAAGGATAAGAAAAAAAATTTATGTTGTAGTTGAGAAATTAAAAATAACAGGAAGATAATAGAATTTCTTCCTATTACTATAGTGGAGGGGTTAAGTTTAGACACAATAAATGAGTCTATAGTCTGTGTATTCCTGAACCCTTTTGACTTAACCCTTAAAATCCACTTAACAAAAGTAATATATTTCAGATGCTGGAGCATAGAGAAGAAATGTGATACATTTTACATTTGTTCCCTCCCGTATATACTAAGAATTTAATGCTTTTAATAATAGAAAACATTTTCTCCAATATATTAAATTAGTTGAACACAAGGATTTTACCAACGCATGTAGTTAAGAGTCTCCTGGAACAGTATATAGAGTCTTTTCATATTTTTTCTCCAAGTTTTTATAAGATTTCTGCAGGCAAGTTAACAGTTTAGATATTTAATAAAAAATAGACTCAAAGAGCACCAACTTCTAGCCTTTCTAGGAAATTTAAGGTTAGATATGAATTTGGTTGAGTTGGCATAAATTTGCCCAAATTCATAAATATATTTGCATATTTATATTCTCCTTCTGGTTTTAGGTTCACTCTAAAGTTATACAGCAAAGGAAACCATAAGCAAGACGAAAAGACAACCCTCAGAATGGGAGAAAATATTTGCAAACAAATCCTGACAAAGGATTCATCTCCAAAATATACAAGCAGCTCATGCAGCTCGATATCCAAAAAACGAACAACCCAATCCAAAAATGGGCAGAAGACCTAAATAGACATTTCTCCAAAGAAGATATAAAGATTGCCAACAAACACATGAAAGGATACGCAACATCACTGATCATTAGAGAAATGTAAATCAAAACTACAATGAGGTATCACCTCCCACCGGTCAGAATGGCCATCATCAAAAGGTCTACAAACAATAAATGCTGGAGAGGGTATGGAGAAAAGGGAACCCTCTTGCACTGTTGGTGGGAATGTAAATTGATACAGCCACTATGGAGGTTCCTTAAAAAACTAAAAATAGAACTACCACACAACCCAGGAATCCCACTACTGGGCATATACCCTGAGAAAACCATCATTCAAAAAGGGTCATGTGCCACAATGTTCATTGAAGCTCTATTTACAATAGCCAGGACATGGAAGCAACCTAACTGCCCATCGACAGATGAATGGCTAAAGATGTGGCATGTATATACAACGGAATATTCCTCAGCCATAAAACGAAATGAAATTGAGTTATTTGTAGTGAGGTGGATGGACCTAGAGACTGTCGTACAGAGTGAAGGAAGTCAGAAAGAGAAAACAAATACCGTATGGAATCTAAAAAAAAAAAAGGTCTGATGAACCTAGGGGCAGGACAGGAATAAAGATGCAGACATAGAGAATGGACTTGAGGACACGGGGAGGGGGAAGGGTAAACTGGGACGAAGTGAGAGTGTAGCATGGACATATACACAGTACCAAATGTAAAATAGATAGCTAGTGTGAAGCACAGGGAGATCAGCTCGGTGCTTTGTGTCCACGTAGAGGGTGGGAGGGAGACGCAAGAGGGAGGGTGGGAGACGCAAGAGCGAGGGGATATGGGGATATACGTATACATAAAGCTGATTCACTTTGTGATACAGCAGAAACTAACACAACATTGTAAAGCAATTATACTCCAATAAAGATGTTAAAAAAAATAAAGTTATGTGGTAATATTCATGGAATTTTCTTTTTCACTTGCAACACTGTTAGCAATCTGAGATAAAGTGATAGTCATAAATTCCGTCTGTTTAATTTCTTAAGCCATATACATTTGTTGTGTTTGTTATTACAGTAACTTTGACAAGTCCATAGCTCCTTTCATGTGTAGTACTTTTATACTTTTACGAGGCAATATCTATCTTTATATCCTGACTAGCACATTTAAATAAAACTCATCTTAGTTTTATTTGTTCTTTTCTATTTCCACATCATCACACATCAAAGTATTAAGGGCTGTAGTTTTATATGGGTAAGAAACTTCACACACACATACACAAAAATACTGTATGTTCCATTTATATGAAATTCAAAAACAAGCAAACCTAATCGGTAGTAACAAAAGTCAGAATAGTGGTTACCTCTGATGGTGAATGGGTGTAGGTGTGAGTGGGCGTAGGTATTGGCTGGAAAGAGACACAAGGGAACCTTCTGGAGAAATGAAATTTTCTCCATCTTTAATCTGGGTCTAATTACAGGTGTACATATATGTAAAAATCTATCAAGCTGTATACTTAGTCATGTATTTTAATAAAATCACTATATTGTTTAAAAAGAGAAAGTGAAAAAGGGTAATATCTGTCTTGTCTTACAGTAGTTTTAGAATTGTAGCTCATCAATAGAATTGGAAACAGTTGTGTACCAAGTGAATGAAAAGAGGCCAAGTCATGGAGTAAGATTCCACAGAGGGTGGGAAACGGGAAGTCACCCCAAGGGCCACTGATAAGTGGTGAGAACATTAGAGAAATACTCAAAGTCTAGCTTTCCATTGTTCTTTATCAACCCTCTGAAATCGCCACAGCTTTTTCTTACTCCTATTGCCATCCTAAACATAAAAAAACATTTGGGAAGGCAGGCAACAAACAGGAGCAGCTGTTACTATTGGCACAGAAGAAAGGAAGAGCCGCGCAGAACCAGCAGCATGTAGTAGAACGGCCATAAAACCAGGACAAAGCAGCAGCGCGCCCAAGGATGGCAGAGAACTGAATGCCAGCAAGGGCGACCAGCAACATTTCCACTTTTCGAAAGCTACTAAGAAAACTTAAACACAAATAATGGTTCTTAGTCAAGTCACGGACACATAACCAATAACTCAAATGCCCTTTTCATAAAACCATGCCCAGGTTCTCGGTATCCCAAAGCAGTTAGATATTCTAACCCCAATATTTTTACTAACATCTTTCAGCTTACTAAAGTACTTAAGAGTTTGCTAAGTAAATCTTAGGTAAGATGAAATACTTTACTTGTCAACACATTTGCTGGCTTCTTTGTATTTCTCAGCAATTTCAGGTAGCTTGGATAAGTAAGCTGTGAACTTTGCATTCACATGCCTGACAAGGATAGGAGTACAAGAGACAAAACCCAATTTAAAAAAAAGCAAACAAACATATAGCAGGAAAACTTTATCCAGAAGAAACTTGGTGTTGACTAGACTTTAAATAAAAAGCAATATTAAAAATAGAGTCACGTACTGATAATTGTTTTTCCAGTATGAAAAATTAATTCTAAACTCCTATGCATCAAATAATAAAGTTTTGTAAACACCAGCTGATAGAATTACAAACAGAAGGTCTCAGATTCACCACACCAAGAGGATTTTAACACAGCTTTCTTGGATAGATCCATCTGCCCAAGCCAGAAAGTATATAGAAAAATTAAAGAACAAAATTAATAAGCTTAATACAATAGGCATATAAAGAACATATTCCTTGAGAATTATTTTAAGCACAGATCAAGCATTTATGAAAATTCATATAAATTTCTACAAATTCAAAATGACTGTTATCATAAAACTCCATGCCCTAAATTAATTTAAAATAATTTAAAGAAAAGTAGAACTTCCCACCCAGCTAGAAATTTAAGAATGCAAATCTAAATAAATCCTCATTCTAAGATAAATCATACTGAGAAGCAACAAATTTTAGATGTAAATCATAAAGAAATACTTATAGAATTCAGCTTACGAGATACACTGAGATAAAATAAACTTTAAGTCAAAAGCGTATTTTAAATGCTAATTTTAGAATAGAAATGTATAAAGGATTAAAAGTAATAAGCTAATCCACTAATATAAGAAGAAAGAAAAAGATCAGAATACATCAGGAGAATATAACAAGGAATAATAAAAAAAGAAAAACAAAAATTCATGACATAGCAACCAAAAGTATAAAAGTCAAAAGAAGAAACGTTTTTTTAAAGACTAATATTTAAAAACCTATGATGAGAGTGATAAAGAGAAATGTATTCTTATAAATTTGAAAGCTGTAAGAAATGAACAACTTCCTAGAAATATAAGATGCATCAAAATGGGCTGAAGAAAACACTGACAACTTGAATAGTACAATAAGCATTTAAGAATGAATCGATAACTAAGTATCTTTCTCTCACCGAAACCCATAGACCTAAGTGATATTACTTACCAGGATTACCAAATACTCAAAAGACACATAACGCCAACTCTATTATGACTCTTTCAGAGAATAGGAAAAAAAAAAAAAGATATATCTTCTATATCTTCAACTCATTGTATAAATCCAGCATAATCTTATCAACACCATGAAAGGACATATGAGAATGAAAGAATAGAGGTAAATTCCATTAATCAATACAGAAACAAAAATCCTGAGTAAATAAACAGGAAGGTGAATCTTCCAATATATAAAATCAAGATATACCATAAGCAAGTTGGATTTATCCAGGGAATTCATGTTTGGTATAACATTAGAAAGTGATTCGCTAATTAATGGATTGAGAAAATACAGTTGAATGTCGCAAAAACACTCCCGAAGAAGTAACACACAGAGAAGAGATTTACTTATCATAAGTACCACACCACAGAAATGAACCTAAAATGTTATGAATATAGAGACAGACAAATAAACTAATGCAATAGAACAGAGTATCCAGAAAAAAAGACCCACAAATATATGGAAACATGGTCAATGGTGTTTGAACAAGTAATTGGCCATGTTGAAAAATAAATTGGGGACTTCCCTGGTGGCGCAGTGGAAAAGAATCCGCCTGCCAATGCAGGGGACATGGGTTTGAGCCCTGGTCCGGGAAGATCCCACATGCCCTGGAGCAACTAAGCCCGTGCACCACAACTACTGAGCTTGCACTCTAGAGCCCGCGAGCCACAACTACTAAGCCCACGTGCCACAACTACTGCAGCCTGTGTGCCTAGAGCCCATGCTCAGCAACAGGAGAAGCCACCGCAATGAGAAGCCCGTGCACCGCAACGAAGAGTAGCCCCCGCTCACTGCAACCAGAGAAAACCCGCGCACAGCAACGAAGACCCAATGCAGCCAAAAATAAATAAATTTTTTAAAAAAAGAAAAATAAACTGGATCCCCATTCATACCATACACAAAAATCAATTTCAGGTGGGTTAAAATCAATGTAAAAATACAAAACCATAGAGCTACTAAAAGACAATAGAGTAGAAGGTGCATCTGATACTGGGGGCAGAGAAAATGTTTATAAACTAAATGTAAAACACATAAACAAAAAAAATTTACAAGTTCCACTACATTAATTAGAACTTATGTTCATAAAGGACAAGGCAAACTTGGTGAAACATTTGCATCACATAAAACTGAAAAGGACTGCTAGGTAGAAAATAACGTTTTAAAACCTACAAATGAATACGAGACAGACAATCCCCCCCAGAAAAATGGGAAAAGATACTTCTTTTATAAAAAGAGAAAATAAGAAAAGACAAATGACCAATAAATATATTAAAGATGCATTACGAGCTCTCAAAGGAATTAAAAATTAAAATCATAGTGAGATCAGAGTTTATACTCACCAGCTAAGCTAAACAAGATTTCAAAATTTCACAAAGTGAGATAATGGCAAAGATGTAGAGTAACTAGAACTGTTACATAA